GCCAGGGATAGAGGTGGGGGATGGAGACTGCTCAAAGCGGCACTCGCCTCTAGAAGAAACATTGGTGAAATGACAGTCAGTGAGTCCTGATGATTCAACAGGACAAACACATTTCCTGGGGATTTTCCAGCTGTATAACTATAAGATGTTTGAACCAACAGTCCTATGTGGAGATAAGCACGCTGGGTGACATAGACTTATGCACACAAATGCAGAAGGTCTCCAAACCAGTGCAGGGTGCCTCTGTTATTAGTACATGAAAGGAGCTGACTATTAGAAAACAGTAGGAAACCCCATTCTGAACCTCGCACTCGGCAAAATACCTCAAGTTAGGCATCGAAAGCCTCTAAGGAGCTTTGAAATCTTGGCCTAACACAGAGCCTCATTCCAGGCTCTATAATAACATAAAACCTTCTGTGAAAGGCACTAATTATTTCATGGCTCTTAAAGCTTCCTCATGATTTTTAAATAAGATTTTTTTGCCTTCTATAGCAAATCCTATTAATCACAGTATTAGTTATAATTCCAGAGAAATGATGATAGGGCTATAACTCTCCAACTGCAAAACCACAAGAAATGTATCCAGAGATTTCAGAGCCATAAAGTGGAAGGATAACCTTCCTTCACACTCTGGGAAACTGGATGCTGCCCTGGCTTTGAACCCTGTTAATTGGCCAAGTATGGAATTTTTTTTTTCCTCAATAATTTTTTTTCCCACTTTGTATGAAAGAGAAATTCAGCATTTGTTTAAATGGGCTGAACCCAAGTCTAAGAACTAGACCCACTTGTCTGTCTTTTTATAACATTCTAGCTGAAAGCAGAGAGGAAAACTCTACCAGGAAAGACTGTTTCTGTATGAGGGGATTAAGAAAGAAAAATCTGATTTACACAGACTTGAGGCTATAAAGTCCTTTCTCACCACTTTCCAAACTTCAGTTTTCTGTAGTTTCTTCTTTGAAAATCCATGTTTGGGAAACACTTTATGCAGAAGACTACATCCCGGGTACCAGATGTGAAAAGGCAGACAACTACGGCAAAACCCAATAGGAATCTACATGTTGACCTTCCTGAAGAGTCAGTAACAGGGTCAGCAGCGAGCAGTAAGGAACATACAGAATCCGCTACTGCTGGCAACTGCCTCAATTCCACCAAGCTGCACTAAGGATATGGCTCTGTGTTTCAGTTTCCCCAGCAGAAAAAATGGCTTAAGAGGCTCCTGAACATGTCTGCTCTCACTCACTGCTGCCTTTATAAAGTAATTTCACACTTTCCATTATGCCAAAGCAGTCTCTAGGGCTGCATCATAAACTGGATGATACAAAATGTTCCAAGTTAAATGAAGAAGGATCTCTGAAAAACCTCAGGGTCTTGCCATTTTCAAGGTAGTTTAAGAGCAGTATTAGAGCTCGTCTGTGAGAATGTGGTGTGCTGTATCCTACAGCAAGTAAAGGATTTGACAAGAAGGAACAGAATTTGCAGTACCTGCACACTTCTGCCTTCTTCAATTTGATGTCACTTTAATTGGCTTTAAATTTTTGATGAGATGACAAACATCAAAGGAAAGTCATTTGATTTACTCCTGTGTCTGTAAGAAATTTGCCAAATATAAAATGGGCTACAAACTCTCCTATGAACTTGTCAGATTGGACCAAATTATTTCTGCTATTTACAGGACCTATGCTTAGGACTTCAAATTTAAGTAGGGGGCTGGAACAACAAATTATTTTTCTCTGCCATTTCAGGGTATATTTTACTCACCGCCCAGATCTTTGCCAGCTGTTCACGAGTGCCAGAAGTTCCTGCAAATATTGGCTGGCCCTGGATCATTTCAACAAATACACAGCCCGCACTCCTGCAAGAAACCCAAGGTATTAACTCATTCACGTACATGACATATGTAACATGATTGTTTGGACGGGCAGGGGAGAAAGGAAGAGGGATAATTTTTGGAATGGAAATTTAGAAATCTTGATTTGTAAATGCAGAAATCCTAATATAAGCTGTAAACCCTATATATCTATTTTGCAGCTCAAGTCTGAAAATTACCAGTTTGATGTGCAGGTATTGTATACCCACCTCATGTCATCTAGTGAGAACGTGTGTGTGTGTGAAGCAAGGCAGGATGTAGGGTGTCTGTATATATGTAAATAAATACAGGCTTCAGTGAAGGCTGATATACTTTTACAGTATGGCAGTAGGCAGGATATAGCATTTAACTGGATGTGGTCAAAGCAATTTAGGTACTCTTGATTTGTAGGGAGAAGAGAATGAGCTTTATTTGTTTTTGGAGCAAGTGATCCTGACTTTCACCCACAGTTTGGGTTCTGATATCCTAGCTACAAATGGCTATTAGACTGGCAACAGCAGAAACTTGCTTGTGGACTTGCTACAGCCCCCAAATGAGGCAGAGGCAACTAGACCTTCTACAGAGATCCTTTCTAATGAACAGTGCTGGCTGTGCTGTTTCCTAAATTGAATTTAAGACACTGAGGATTTGGGGACACAGCTGGCGGTACACAGCAGTTACTAAAGACAAGGGACTACTAACAGTGAAAGTGCCCTATAAATGTGGTCCTTGTGACTTAACTGCTCTGCTGCAAAGGTCTAAGGCAACAGAGTTCATTGCAGACAGAAAACCAGATCTGCTACGGTTTCTGTTATTGCTGAGAAGGCTTGAAATCCAGACAAAGCAACAAATGGAAGTAAGAACTAGAAAGCCGGGGTTTTTTCCCTAGATTCAGCTAGCATTTGTTAAGAATTACTCATGACCAAGTTCAAAAATTCAAATCTAATGAAACAGTCTTTTCACTAATGGGCAAGCTGTCAGTTTGAAGAGAGGAACAACTTGTGGGTTGTTACAAATGCATCTTCTGGTAGAGCTCTCTTTTGTATTCCTGGTTTATTCCCACTGCCTCTGAAGCCTTTAAACCTCAGTGTCTCTAATAAAGACAAAACTATCAGAACAGTCACAACTGCTGGAAAGGAAGGGCTTTTTGTTTCCTGTCGCACAACTCCACTGACCAACTGCCTTTAATTCCTGCTTGATACTGTATTGATTCATCAGTGGCAATTATGACTTTCTATCTCCATGTGTTTCCAGATGAAATATGCTTTTCTTTACAAAGAAGGCCAGAAGTACCTAGAACAACTGATGTATGGGCACCTGCCTCTTTTCACAGGTATTTTTGTCCATCTGTTAAAATAGGACTTTGGAAACTAGTGCTAGTCATCAAATTAGCCTTTGAATAGAGGCCTCAACTTTCCTTCTGAGATACAGGATTTACAGTTAACTGCTCTGACAGCATTATGAGGATCCTTCTGTTAATGAGGATGATTCAAAAACTTTCACTTTTAAATATTTCTAATGATTTAGACCTAGTGTCATTTTCTTTTTCCCCTTTTCCTTCTTACAGCTCTGATACTCATTTCCAAGGTCTTCTTACCCCTTCAAGTTTCTCAAAGGATCTCAGTCCCATATAGCTGCCCTGAGAAGAGCTAGGGCAGAGGGAGGGGTCTTTCAGGAAAAGGCCTAGACATGATGTTTCAGCATGTGCTAGTTATGCAGGCGAATCAAGACAGTGACTGCTAAAGTACCAGGAGAGGTATAATTTGTTACAGGGATATTTAGTGAGCATAAACTGAGCTGCTTCAGACAGCATGGATGCATCTCCCTGCAACTCCTGGGGCAGGTCTGAACACTGCACTTACTCCTCAGCTTGCAGTGCTGCATGACACAGTGGAGAGATGACTTCATCAGATTCAAGAGCTAAATCTCTGCAGCATCCCAGAGTTCCCTTTCTCCAGTTTTTCTGGCATTGGGAGATTGCAGTTTTATATTTAACCAGAAATATATCCTTTCTCTTGTTCCTCACTGAGCATGGTCTGTACAGTGGAGCCCTAGCCTGTATGTCCCAGTTTGGCATAGTGGGGCAATGCTAACCAGGCTGGGGAGAAGGCTGTATTGGGCCTGTCAGGTCCACGTTAAATGACTGCACAGAAACTTCTTTTCTACATTAATCTTTCTGGGATGATTCCTGTGATTTTTTTTATTTTTTTTTTAAATGGAAGACTATAGAAGGAAACCCTTGAAAAGAACTGAAACCCTATTGAAAAGAAGACATGACTTGAGGCACTCATGATGTTAGCAGCTACTAGTGCAGCACATCCATAAAGCTCTTGGTGTTAAAAAAATAAAAAAAATCTTTCTGATATGCAGTGTAATCTCCCTGAAATGTTAGTCTCCCTGAAATCCCTTAATTGAATCTTCTAAAGTACTGAAGAGATAGTGAGGGAGAAAGAGAGAGGAAAAAAAAAGATACAGAGAGATTAAAGCAGCTTTTCTAGTTAGTCCAAGAGTGAGCGAGTCTCTTTCTGTATCTCTTCATCTATTCAAGGCCTCATTCACTTCCCATGTGCCTCCCACTGACAGTATTGCTGCTCAAGCACACTATGCATGAATTGCCATAATGTTTTATTTTGTTATAATTGGTTTCTTTAAACTAAGGCTTTAACACCCACTGTCTCATGCCATTACCAAGGGCATTCTGACCTGCCTTCATGTAAATTGCAGCATCCAAAAGACATAGGGTTTTTTTTTTCCTTTCTTCCCAATAGACAAGTAACATCTGTGTGAATTCACATTATTTCCTAATAGACAAAAATTGCACTTAAATGCAGTGTACATCAAGATAATAAATGACTCTTGTTATAGGAAGTTACTGAATAGAGCTCACTGAAGTACTCTATTCTCTCAGCGTGACATCTTTCTTTAGGGCAACCACTTTGAGTGTTGTTATTATAAGGAGGCGTTATAACAAAGGTGCCTATAGTGTGAATGTAGTTCAGTGGGACTGGAGTATTGTGCTGTTAGAGCTGGTCAGACTGCTGGATGGGATCTTTGTATACCTCTCCTGTGTGGCATTACACTAGAGCAGAGTTTTGTAGTGGGGATGGATGTTGGTTTTGCACAGGCAGAAATGCCAGGCTTTCTGTGTGTAGCCAGGCCTTTGGACAGGGGTCAACTTTTCAGGAAAAAAAAACCAAACAAGCTTATACCAGCATCTGCCTAATACAGGCCCTACAATCTGCTAGGCAGGCATCTTCTTCAAACTCAGCAGATATTCCTGAGAGACTGTCTGGAGGGCAGAGGTGACAGGTAGTGGGGGAGAGAAGACAGGACTATTTAGACTGGCTTAGCAGCTGGAAGCCATTAGAATTTAGCAAAGTTTTCCTCCTTGGAGAAATCTTTAAGCAATTAAATTAGCAGCAGGCCTAGGGAAGTGAACAAACTAAAAACTCCTGTTTCCCTGAACTGCCCTCCAGACTTAGGCCATCAGAGTCCCCCAAAAGCCGCAGATCTCTGGAGGGGGATACAGCCTGAGAAGACCTGGAGCTTTGCAGTTGGTAAACTCACCCAGCCCTCTTCTTGCACATTCTTCAGCCTGCTGCGCTCCCACCCTTTCCCAGCCTTTAACTCTGCAGAGCAGTTAAGAAAAGTCCTGGTGTGATAGGCACAGGCAGAAAAATAACTGGTCTGAAGAAAGGGTGAAGCAACAGTAGTATCTACAGATGTAATATTGCCCAGAATAACGGTGGTCTCCTGCAACTTCATGAGCTGCGTGTTGTCCATGAGTAAGTCAGGACTGTGATGCTGGAAGCAAGCTCAGACTGGTGCATAAGTGATCCAGAAGACAGATCAGCCCCAGGGCTGAGCTACATGTCCAAGCCAGCCCAAAAGGACCACTGGGACCCCTGTGAAGCTCTCATCCTCTCCTGGTTTCTGCATGCTCTCTCCCTTCAGCTCTGTTAGGGTACGGCTTGTTTCCTGTGATTCCCAGCCACATTAAGATTTTGGGACAGAGCTAATAAGGTAACAAGGCTTTAACAGAATGCAGCCCTTCTCCTGTATGAAATGCAGAGTACATCTGAGATGTGTTCTTTGAGAAGAAGGACAAAGTATCACAGGAATAATGAAAATCTCAGACACCTTTCTCTCTCCATATCCATTCAGGAACCCTTTAATGCCACATTTTGTTACCAATGCCAAAGTCATTGTTGGTGCAGTTGTGGATCCATTCCAAAGCCATTGCTGTAGAGAGCTACCACTGACTCAGCCGACCACATAAATACAGAACAGTAAGTGCATTAAGCAAAGGTGTTCTGTTGCATGACCTGCAAATGCTTCATAATGTTACCAAATGAGATGTACATATCTCATAAATATTATCAGATAAGGTTTATACAAATCCATAGTTGAGATGTAGTGACATCATTCCCAAAAACTATAAACCAGCAGTACAAAACTCCTCACCGCTCACATATTTTCTGCTCATAGGTGTTATTTCCTCTACTTATGACTGTACATACTGTAACTTGGTTGATTTAATTCACATAAAGATAATTTTTCCCAAGGGACCCCAGATGCTTTGAAATTGTTCAGTACCAGATATCTAGATCAGAAGAATAATCTGTAGCTCCAAGCAACACATCAGGAGGACGGTACCAGAGTGTTACAACTTCAGAGGAGTATGTCTGTCTGGGGATGGACTTGGCACGAGCAAGGCCTAAAAAAAAAAAAAAAGACTGCTGTTTTAGGACATTCCTTCTACTTGTACAATGCATAGATTATAATAATTGGAAACAGAACATTATTTTCTCTTGCATCTTTAAACATGAGCAATCTCAATGCATTTTACCAGCAATTGACAAACTGTATCTGGAATATACTTCTGGGGCAGATCAGATCAAGCAATATCCTGTTTTGCAGGGCTTTATCATTTGTGACTGAAGCAGCCATCCAAACCAATGCCAAGAAAGCCTTTTAATTGAGCATGTTGCTGCGGACTCTACATGTTACATTATTTTCTGAACAGAGAGGGGTTGATTCTCAATTATCTTGAACCAGTTTTATGTGGTGGTAATTGCTCTGACTTAAATGAGGTTACTCCCTGCATCTATCAGTATAAATGCAAGAAAGGCTGGACTGACCACAGAAATAGTTTCCTGAAGTTCAGTAAGAGGTTATGCTTCTGTGCCTTAATTGGCTGTGGATACAGATCTATATGCATGCTAAAGCTCTGGTCTGAGCAGATATATTAGAAGTATCCAAACTGACTCACCAAAGTCGGCTAATTTGAGCTCACCAAGGCAACTGATGAGCAAGTTCTGGGGTTTCAGATCACGGTGAAGAATGTGTTGTTGGTGGATGTAAGCCAGGCCACGCAAAAGCTGGAACATGAAGAGCTAGAAAAAGCCAACAAAAAACTGAAATGATTTTGTGTGACTTTGCATTGTTATATTAACTCTGAACTTCAGGAGAATGCCCAGAACAAAGCAGAGACAAAGCAAGTAAGAAACCAGTAAAAATCTAGTAGAGCTGGCTGAGGGAAAGAAAACTGTTGTGTGGGGTATGACTGCCGTGCAGCTTTCTGAGGTTTTCGGGGTGGAATACTTGGACTTTAGAAATGGACTTTAGAAATGGATTGCAGGAGCAAGCTCAAGTAGCCAAAACACAGACCCGGCTTTCAGAACAGCAGATGCTGTGATTTCAGTGTTCAAGACAAAGACATACAGCCAAGCAAAATGAAGGTTTAAGGAGCTGGAAGTTTTGCCCATTTGAGCAGCTGACACCAGCAGAGGGAGTTCTGCGGCCGCTGCACACACCACCCCTTCCCACAGCATAAACTGGACCAGTGAACTGGCTGACTTGACAGTGTGAACTGTTATCTTCAAGATGGGAGAAAACACAAGGACCTGATTTGAACAGATATAGCAAATAAGATATGATGAATGAAGTAAGCAAGCAAGAAAGAGAAAGCAGAAAAGCAAGCAAGCAAGCAAGAAGTATCTAACTCCCACCACCATAAGCAGTGTAAATAAGCCTGAGGTAAAATAACTTGGGCTGAAACAAGGTATGAAATTGAGCAGTGGAGAGAAACAAAACACAGCAAAAGCAATTAGACTTCACCAGAGAAAAGCTATTTTTCAACAGAAACTTAATCTGAAGAGGAGGAAAAACAGTGACACCCATAGGTCATTTTTTGTACCAGAAAAGTGTCCCTGTAATATTCTGCACACTTGCATCATATTCAATAGGAATCACTCAGAGAAAAAACAAACAACATTTGCCAGCAGAAATGAAGCAAGCTAGATGACCCTCCTAAAGGAGCAGTAAATCGTTTCGCAGTTCAGTTCCTGCTGACAATGAGGATTTTGGACAGGAAAACAGAGCAGCTGGCTAGTTTTTACTCACAGAAATGCCAGTGAGTACATGTTACAGCCATGTACTCCATGGTCTTTACAAGCCTGTCTGGTAGCAGAGCCCTTGAGATCTGTGCCAAAACAACAGCACTGCATCTTGGATACATCTGAGCTTTTAGGATGTTTAAAATCTGGGGCCCCAACAAACTTCATTAGAATTGGTGTTGCTTAACAACTATCTGGAAGAAGATGTGAACAAGGAGGCAACATTTGAAGATGACAGAAGTATTTAGATTAGCCATGATAAGAAGTGACAGTGAGAAACTTCAGAGAGATCTGACAAAATCAGATGAATAGGCAGTTTGATAAGATACAAAGCTATTATTGACAGCTGTAAGATAAATTAACTGAAGCTGCTCAGGAAAAGGACTCAGGCATTCACTGAGGACATGTGCACTGAAACCTGAAGTCAGTGTGCAGCAACAATCATGAAAATTAATTAAATGTGAAGATGTGTACAGAGGAGAGTAGGAGACTATAACATCAATCTATAAAGTAAGGGTACATCTTCACCTGTGCTCAGGTCTAGTCAACCAATCCCAAAAAGCTGTAGTAGAAACAAAAGGGATTTAAATGACTTTAAATATGAAGATACTTCCAGGTGAGGGGAGAGTGAGATTTGAGAGTTTTTAATTAGAGAGATAAATAATGTTTTCTAATGATAAGAGGGTACAAATTTGTGTAGAGACAGATTTGCTTGCCACAAGATGTCATTGTTCACAAAAGCTGAATATCCTCTCGTAGGCTCAGAAAATGGGAAGAGGAACTAACCGAAAAAAGGCTTTGGAGACTGAGAGGGAGGTTGTTACATCTTTATCAAAGGCAGCTTTTCTCCAAAGTGTTTGTCATATATGGAACAGATAAATATTAGTAAGCAATTTACAGTGACCATACATAGTGGAAAATAACACTTCCTCATACTTAAAGGGATACTAGTCTTTTGAGCAACTCACCATAACATTGCACAAGTGAAGTCCTCCAGGATGCTGGCCCATGTACTGTGCTAGATCTGTGTGCTAAAGAAAAGAGGAGAACTTGAAGCAAAGCTATTAGTGTGAAATGCTTCTACCAACAATGCCTCTTCTGTAAATGGAAAAAATAGCAACTACTACAAAGGTGTCGCTCTCACCTTGGCAAACATCTGACCTGATGCAGCACACATGGATATGTGTAAGTGCTGGATTAAATTAGGGACCTGGCTGACCTGTTATCTCACCCTAGCAGTTTATGACCTGAAGCTGGTAGTAAACAGAATTCATACTTGTACCAGAATTAGTCATAAAACTGCAGTAAGAAGACATAGCCTCTGTATTTTCCTTATAAGTTGGTTGATAGCTATCAGCAAAAGCAACAGAAGTAGCAAGACTCATGCTGAGAATTTTTTTATTGGCATCCTGCCCTCCCCATGAGAGCAACCCCCAGCTTGGTCATGGTGAGCCACTGGGGTCAGTGCCAAATCTGACTCCAACTGGGAGGTGAGCTCATACCGTTGTTTCCTATCCTTGCTGTGGCTCAAGAACAGTACTTTTATTGTGTTGTCAAGGCAGAAATGGAGGTAAATAGTGTTTGTCACTCTAGTGGCGACAAGATGTGGAATCATTTTTGCATACAGCTGTCGCATATACAGAAAGAAAGGAGTAAGGCTGTGTGGCTGGAAAGCAGGAGATCAAGAAGTAAAATCAGTCATCGCACTGAAGGATTACAACTCATTTCTTCGTAGATGTCTCATGATTCAGTAAATTAATTATGCAGCCACTTCCCAGTACTAGCTCCAGAGGAAGCTAGAAACAGATCAACTCACCATATACTCAAAGACAAATGTTAGTGTCTCCTTGGTCTGGATAATGTCATGAAGCAGTACAATGTTGGCATGTTTTAAATGCTTGAGAAGAGAAGCTGGGGAAACACAAAAGGAAGATCAACTTAACCGCTGCTGCTGAAAGTGGAAGGAGAAAGAACACACAACAAGGCAGTGGAAGTAAAAAAGCTGTTAAGAAATAGTCCAAACTTGGCAGTTCTGTAAGAAGCAGCAGCTACTGAGTCTGGAGGAGGATGGAACAGGTCCTTAGAGAACCAAGCATCAGTGCTCCAGGCTTGGCAGGAACCCGTCCATCTCTCAGAGGTGGGATCTTGCCTCTGTCAGAAATAGCAGTTCACAGTTCCCAGCTGTCAGCTCCTCAGCTGAGGATAAATAATTTATTCAAGGCAAATACTGAGAGGCAGGGGCTAGGAGCTCCCAGAGCCAGAATGCAACACCTCATGGCCTGTTACTGAGTTTCTCATCCTTCTCCCATCCACCTCCTGGCACGTACCCTCAGCAGGGCTCTTAGGAGATATCTAGGGAAAGCTGAATTTCTATCAGCTTCCAGCTTCACAGTGTCAGGGTATAAAAATCTGCCAAAAGACATCACTGTACATGAATTCTACAGCTGAATTCTGAATTTAGCTCTGTCCTTTTAGCTTGGAGAAAGCATATTGGTTACTACTCTGGTTTAAAACTCAAAGAGCAGAGATGGTGAAGTTACTGAGTGAAGAATAACTTGTTTGTACTGATACAACTCTGGCACATTTTTTCTTTTGGCCTAACCATCTAAAAGCATCATTGCAACTGTGTGGCACTGGTCCTTAGGTGCTGACATGCCTTTGCCAAGCCACAGCACATCTAGGGTGTGGTGATGGAGTGGGCAGCGCATGGAAGAGTCTCTGCCTCCATGTAGACCACAGAGCACTGACTGATGCTAAAACAAATGCTACAGCTTTCTGAGCCTTTCAGCTTTGCATTAGGTTTCTTGAGATAGAGCAGGCTCCAGCCGACACACTCATGAAGGCAGCTTCTCAGCAAAGTCTCAAAGATAGTCTTTATGGGGGAAGAGCATGCACAGCTTCATCATTTGCCATTTGTTTGAGACAATAGTTGCTGTAGCTCTGTAGAGAGGAGGGATGTAGGGAAGTGGTGGAGCTGGAATTGCTGTGCCTGTAGATCCCTGGAACTACTGAAGAATCCAAGCCAGCTGTTATACCAAAACTGTGCACAGACAGAAGCCCCAAAGCTCAACAAAAGCAGGGGTCCCTGACTCCAGATTTTAGTTCATCTTCTGACATAGCAGAATAGCCTCAGAGCCTCTCCAGACTCACCTTTCCCTGCCAAATTAGTTTACTGTCAGACCACACAGTGCTACAAATTTCATTCAGATAAAGCATGGGCATATAATCTCGTTTCTGCTGAATTAGCCAAAGCACACAATACAGAGCTTGGGCCAGCCATGGGAGGCCAAATGAGTTTTGGTCCTGGATAAAAGCTGGTTTTTGTTTTTCAAACAATCTGCAAAAGATATTTGAAGAGTTTCATGCTGACAAAGCAAATTTGTACTGGATTAGCACTTTGCCTTTTGTGACCATAACAATTTCACCTGGTTCTAAAAGCCCTACAGCCAGACATACTGTATTACACAGCTGTGGCCTAAGCATATGTCAATACTGAGACTGCTGAGCAGCAAGGGATGCCTGATTCAGCATGACTTCTGGAAACAGCACAGATTGTAAATTAGTTCTTGCACAGAGCTTGGTGCTGCTGCAGCTAAACTGCCTCTAGTACTGATGCTAGTCCATTTAGCTACCGCCAGTATGTTTCCAGTGCATGGCAGTATGAACCTTAATCCCACTCCACATTGTACCTAATTGCCTATGAACCCAGTAAAGATACTCTGGCTAAATCCAGCCTTCTGCAGAAAGGGGCTGCTAACCTGGCTCTCTGGTACCTCAACAATCCTGTATGACCAGAGCTGTTGCTCTGGAAGAGCAGTGCAGAGGGTCCACAGTAATAGGGAGAATTCAGCCCCTGTGCCTGAATCCTGCCTCTGGGAACTGCTCCTCACTTGGTCGCTTCTACAACCCCTGCTGGGGTGTCAGGTGCTTCTGCCAGAACTGAGCTTTAAACACATTTCATTTCTCTGGGGCTTCCTGAGGTGAAGTGGCTCTTTGTCAGAGAAGTGCCATTACTCCAGGGTAGCAGGGAATGTACCACGTTAATAAATCTTGTGCTTTGTTTGAGCTACTGACTTACATTGTAAATTTGAGATGTCAGATGCTGCAAAGCTCAGCAGTACACAAAAGATCTATTTAAAGTAGACCTTTCTTAGGATCACCCTTGTTCTCTCCCACAATGAATGAAGTTAAGGCTCTCAGCCTGTCCAGTAGAGCATGGTAAAGGGGTGCTGATCTTTAGAGCGTCATTAGTTCTATGTAGATAAAGCTTTTAAGGCTTAATTTACTGGTGGGCTACAAGTGTAAATGCAGAGCAAAAGCACCACAGCAAATGCCTGTATAGGAAATGGTAACACAAGCCATTCTGTAAATAGACATATTTAGGTATCTCCTTGCTTTCACCCAGAATCGACTAAGGACTTTATAAACTTTCTTATCTTAATTACACTGTTATAAACCTAGAGTGGGTCCACTGACCTCTCTCATTATTCTGAGTTGAATATGGTATCAGAGTCCTTCTGTGCTCTGGCTGCTCTGTGAAAGCTGGCATACCTGGTTCCTAACACACCATTCCCACAGTGACAAGATCAACCTTAGTTTTGAACTGCAATAAAAGGTAAAAACCAAAGTATGTGAGACCGCTTACATTGATAGCTCTCACTAATACCAGGCAACAGACTGGCACAAAGGTTGCTTTTTTATGTGTAAGGAAGAAACCAGATTATGATCCTCTTGGGATTGTAGAGCAGACGAAAATAGAAGCCTTAATCAACCAGGCAATTTGTGAACTTGGTCTGTAGGGACATGTAAATACATTCAGCCAAAATCAAGCACTTAAACAAAAGCATTTATTTCTAAAAGAAACTGAGAAAGCTGCAGACATTTTGCCCACTGCTCTACAAAGTCGACTGATAGAAAGAATTTCTCACCAGCCTGAAATGATAGATGTTATTAAACACCAGTTTTATTGAAAGCATTTCTCTTCAGGCTGGGATATGTGATGGTCCAGGTATCAGCTGCCATCACACAGGAAAGTGGCACTGTTTATAGTAACAGCAAGCAGAGACCCTGGTGCAAAGGGCACTTCCAGTTTGCACTTCCAGTCCACAACTGCCTGATGCAACAGTGGCAAAAACTGCTGTGCAGTGGTAGTGTATAGAAATGGGAGGGAGAAAGGAATTACAGAGCAGGTAGCAGGCAGGAGGTGTAGGAGGGCTTCTACACTGCTAGAAAGTACATGGTCTGGCTGCAGCCAGCACTTCCTTTTCACAAGCTCAGATGCATCCATCATGAGGGAATACACCGGCGTTACAGTTCCCTCTGGGTCCATCACGTGCTCACCCAGCCCAGCACAAAGACCTCCTTCAGGAGGGGATAAAGACACTGACAGTTCTGGGAGAAGGACAGCCAGCACATTGAGTAGGCAAGAAGGGACTCGGGAAGATGTGACATGGTTAAAACAATTGCTCTTCAAGAATGTTGTCCCTCACTCTTCACCAATGTTTGAAGAAGCTCTTTATGTCTTACCTTCCCGAATGGCTGTAAAGGGCACTCCCTCCTCTGCCTCCAGCCTGATCACTTTCAATGCCACCAACTGGCCGTTGATCCTGTCAGGTCAGAGTGGAAGGTCACACAAAGCACATCAGTGCTTGGCATGACAATGTTAACAGTCTCCTGGAGTGCTCCACACTTACCCAAGCAAAATTTCTATGGCTCACTCCCCAACCTAGTCTAAACTCAGAAATGTATTGCCAACCACCTCCATCTTGTCTTCATTAGCAAGGAAATGGGAGCCAGCCCACCTGGCTAGAGTAGCACCATTCTGCAGACCGGGTATTGCTAGAGTATGGCTTCAGGAACTCCATTTTTTCCATCATGCAAGGATCCCTCATTCCAAGGAAAACCCTCACTCCCTTCCTGGTGCAGCCAGACAATCTCCTGGCATGCAGCTGCAGAGCAAAGTGTCCTTGTGGAGCTTCCATGGCTGTAGTGGAGGAGTTCCCTGAAAAAGTGGGATGGGGCTTTGCAAATATCCTGGTTAAAGGCAAAGCTGGACTTTTGATTTGCTTTTTTCTTCCTGTAAGTACTCTAAATTGCCCAGCTTCAAGCTCATCCTTACAGATTCCTGTAACAGGTGTTTTCAGCGGGCACTGGGAAGACAATAATGGCACTGGTGGTCCTTGCTCACCTGCTGATCCCCTTGTACACAGTTGCACAGGATCCTTCACACAGCTTCTCTAGATGTACATAGGATGTGGCAGCTCCAAAGGGGATGCCTTGTCTCTGCTTTGTGAAGAAATTGGTGTGTGTTTTAGATTGCTGGGTAGAACAAGAAGCTACTAGCATGTCGTTCAGCAATTAAATACTGATTCATGGCTGGAATAATCATAGGATGAAATACCTCCTGTCTGGCTCTGTGGATGCTGCACACTCACCCATTTGAACCTCTCCACAACATCCTGCTCCTGGAAAGGACTGGTGTAACTCCAAGGCCTCTGCCTCCTGCACCTCCAACTCTGGAGCGTGTGGAGCCACGGGGACTGCAGTGAGGGTAGAGGAAGGGGTGCTCTGGTTACATCTGACAGCTGGCACAGGTAAAGAAGGCAAACTACATCACTGGCAAACCACCATTTTACTGACATAATTCTTTCTTTCCTCCTTCACTGCAGTGGCTTTGAGTACTTCACATCAGTCACAGATCTCCAGTATAGTTTCTCAGTTCCTTCTGTAAGGGGAGCAACTGTCTGTATGTTCCTATGGGTTCCTACTGTGGTAAGTGGGAGCGCCCACTCTGAGAACACATGCAGATGAAGCTGCCTTAACTGCAGAGGACACTTCTACCAGTATGATTCTAAATGCATGTTATTCTCTCTTACCCTTGATGTATTTGTCTCTAGATAACAATCTGCTGGAGAAGGGACTAAAAACCAGATGCAGGAGTGAAATTTCAGGAAGTTCCAATTTATGTCTTCTCCTCCTTAAACCCTGCCCTCCCACCCCACATCACATTGAGCGTTTCTCACCACTGTATAATTCAAACAGCCTGTTAATTTGACCCGTGCAGCGTAACAGAGCCATAAAACTATAAAAATAAAACTGTATAAAACTGTAAAACTATAAAAATAGTGGTAAGGGATGGCAGGCAGCCTGCAAGTTCCTCCTGAGCAGCTACATTGGATGGGTGCCTGCATTATCATTTGACTCAAATATAACAGGATTTGTAATCTATGGCATGCTGCCTCCTCCAAAACTATAGGTTGTTGGCTCCCCCCTCCCTGTTTTACAATTTCTCATTGGCATAGAGCTTGCTGGAGTGCAACCTCCACCCTGTTCATCACATCAAAGGCATTTATTGTTATCTAAGGCACGCACAGAGTCCTCTTTCAGTAGCTTCACAAACCTAAAGCTGCAAAGTTTGATGCTGTCTGCTTAGAAGCAAATGTGAATGTTTTGCACTGCCACAACAAGTGGAAGAACCCAGGCTTAACCTATCTCAATGCACAAGTATCATGGTGTGATATTAAATACCTCTGCTGTAGACACTGCTTCCGTGTGCTGAAGGCCTTGGATATGTTGGGAGCCCCTTCTCTCTGAACAGCAGCTGCAGCATCCTGGTCTGACAGCACTTACACACAACAAGTCTCCCATGTTGTTGTCCTGATGCAATTAAAATGTCTCCCTTTTTTCTCCTTTGCCCCTCCTCCTCCCTCCATCCATAGTAACAGTTCGCATGACTCACATGAGGTCTCTGCCTCAAGCAGTCTTGTGATTTTTGCAGTTTTTCTTTGAAAGTCCAACATACAGTGATCCAAATTCACCCCTGGAGCTGTTCCATTGATTTCAGCTCATTTGGCACATGTCCTCCAAAAACAGCCAAGATTTTTTCGTAACTAAAGATGGAGAATTAAGCAAGAAATCCAAAGTTCTTGTACAAAGTTCTTTCAGTTAAACAACACTTAGTGTAATATGTTAGGTAATAAAGTGATAGGTTTCATACAGGAACAGACCTTGACTTCCCTCCAGGTCTATAGCAGTTACTATTCTATATGTCATTAGGCTCTAAGTTGAGCTACCTGAGCAGCATGGCTGGGTTGTGCTTGCTGCAGGAGCTGTACGTTGGCTGTCCTTGCTTTGGTACTTATGTTCTTAGCCATGTGTCCTGGTTTGGCTAGGATAGAGTTA